GGGGGGGAGCCAAGCATTTCAGCAGAGGACAATAGAAAAGATGGCCTAAAGGTATCACAAGATCCATCACAGCTCTACCAAAGGACTTTGCTTTGAGAAGAGAGCTCCAGGATACCATATTCTAGAATGGCTGCAGCCTAGGAACTTTTTACTGCTTAGATTTAGGTTCACAGAGCTCAGAAATCCAGGCATGTAAATGCTACAGGTATAAGAGAAGGAAGACTGACTATTGCTCTAGCTGGTGGCAAACTGTGATGTCATATACATGACGCTGATTTTAGGCACATGCAGGATGCAATAGTTACGGGATCAGGAAGATTTCCTCTCTGATTTCAGATAAAAGCCTGGGAGGCCAGGAAGTGTACCCCTGAGGGGGCAATGCATGAAGATGTGAAGATAAAGCTGTAGGTGCAGTGGAGACCCCAGAAGGTTGGAGAAGACAGGAAAGTGGATTAGCTGCAAGAAGTGAGCAAAGCTAACTCAAGGGAGAAGTCATGGGAGTTACAATCACCAGCAGTGTTACAGAGGGGACACCACCCAAGCCCTTTGGAGTTCACATCGTGCAACTAAGGGGCTTAATGTTTGCCTTGCTGGAGTTTGGGCTTGTTTTGTTTCCTTTCCTTTCTATCCCCTTATTTGGAACGGAAATGCTTATTTTATGGCATTATATATTGGAAGTGTTTAATTTTCTTTTCATTTGTGCAGGGGCTAGCAGCTAAGAGGTAACCTAAATCTCAGAAGAGATTTTGGACTCAGACTTCTCAGCAATGCTTAAACTGTTAGGATTTGAAACTCTTAAAGATGTACAAATGCCTTTCAAATAAAGAGATGAGCATGAGTATTTTGAGGGCCAGGGGTGGAATGTTATGGCCTGTATCCTAGATATCCTCTCAAAGCCTCATGTGGGCACAGGTGGGGAGTTTCCAAGGTGGCTGGGTTAGGGTGTGTGAATGTGGATTAAGGGCATGATAGTGCGATTAAGAATATAGATAATAGAAGCCCCAGCCTAGGTATGGGTTAGCCCATACCTAGGTATAGGAATATAAAGGCACAGAAAGTAGGTAGATTTACTCTTCCTCCTCCTGCGGTCCTCCCCACCCCCCTGTTTTTTCACTGGCTCCTGTCTGCCTTGTCATGGACTGTTTCTCCTCTGTGATGCCCCTCTGCCACACTACCCTGCCTTGAAGTCAGCCAACTGTGGAGTGAAACTGTGATCCAAAATAAACTTTTCCTCCATTAACTTGTGGATACTAGGTATTTTATCCCAGCAATGAGAAAAGTAACTAAAACACTCCCCAAAAGTAACTAAGACACTTTTCAGTTATCAGACAGGAGAAAAGGAAAACAAGAAATGTTGGGCAAAAAGCCATAGTGTCTGATATCTCCCCCATTACTGACTCTTAGTCATAAGTAAGTGCCTACAACATTAATGAACAGAACATGTAAACTATATATGCCTTTAGATAAGCATTTGAGCAAGCCAATACTCTTTTCAGAGACTTTATTTTATGACCTACAACATCATAAAGTCATACACTAGGAAGCACTGCACAGATGTGGCCTACCCCACATTTCAAAACAACGTTTATTTAATTGTCAGAACTGGTAATTGGGAAACTGCTCGTAAAAAATCCGTACTGTATTTCTGACTTTCTTCTGCAAATTGGAAGGTCTGGCAAATCCGTATCAGGCCTCCTGCATGGAGATAGTCAGTTGATGTCCAGCATCAGCTGCCCCCTATAAGGCCAGCCATTTGAATTTTAGCTTTTCCAGCTCTTTTAGCTGATGGTATCTGTTCCAAATGAATTCCCCAAGGCAGTGGCTCTTAAAACCTGGCTTCACATTGGAATCATGTGAGAAGATTTAAAAGTGAATCATGTGAACAATGCCTGCTTTTCACCTATAGAGATTATAATCTGTCTTGGACACAAACTAGGTTTTAGAATTTTTATGTTCCTCAAGCAATGGCAACCTGTAGCTAAAATTGAAGACCTCTATGTAAGATAGTTTCTAAAATTTGCACATAAATCCCCTGGGAATTTGATTAAACTCCAGATTGTGACCCAGTAGGTCTAACATAGTGACTAGAGTCTATAATTTTAAGCTCTTGCATGGTGCAGGGACCTCATTTTGACAAGTAAGGCCCATTGGACATGGCAGTACGTACCTATAATCCTATCACTTGGGAAGCTGAGGAAGGAGGATTGCCCTAAATTTGAAACCATCCTGGACTACATAGTGAATTCAAGGGCAAGCTAAACTACATGGTGAAGACTTGTCTCAAGAAAAGTAAGTATCTAAGGCAGTAGTGGCAAACGAACCCATAGCACCGGATGTTTGTATCACTGGCAGCTCTGAAAGGCTCATTATCACTCTTCTAAGGCATTTGTACTGATCTTAGTTTTGAACCCAGAAATACATACTTAGGCTTGAAGTCTAAGGGAAAGTTATCCTAACAGATTATTAAAGAAGCTGGAGTGAGCAGACAAAAGAGAGTATCCTCCGGTCTTCTTTGAAGAGGCCATTTGCTCAGCTTTCTTCAGCCACTAAAGCTTTATTGGGGGTTCTTGACTTCCTACATCTGACCACCAGACCACCTTTTCTGCTATGCATGATGCATGGCACTCCTGTATCCATTTGGAAATTATATCCCCTGCCATTTTGACGTTCTCCATGGTGGCATTACCTGAGATCCAACAGTCTGGCCATTATCTACTGGTTATATGCTCATATGAACATTTTATTGTGGTGGGTTCAGTCTGTCTTCCTAGGAGCCCTAAAACAGTGAAGGCAAACCTTTTAGAGCTTACAGTGATACAGCTTGTTGTCCTGCAGGAGGTTTCACACGATTGCCCTAAAGCAATCATCCTCATACCCTAGCATGCATTAGATGACTTGGAATGCTAATTAAAAGTGTTGAGTTCTACCCCAGCATTTCTAGATTAGTAAGACCAGAGAACTTGGCATTTCCAGGAAATTCCCAAGACATGCTTATGGTACTGGTCTGAAGATCTAGAGATTCTGGGGAGAGGGCAGAAAAGCAGCTGACACAGAGAGCTCCAGGCCTTGTCACATGACTTACTGCTTTGCAAGCTATATTTTGGAATTACAGGTGAGATTTTACTAAAAGTTACCTCAAAGACTAGTTTAAATACTGCTAGTTTGTTGCCTGTTTGCTTTCATTTCATATAAATCAATGGAAAATAAAAATACAATACTAGTGATATGGAAGGGAAGTGTCAATTTAACACAAATGAAACAAAGACAAATCTATTTGGTATGTGTATATGGAAAAAGAACCTTATTTTTCTTTCCATAGGGCACTCTTTGAATTTAAACTATGTGTTCAAATATGATGGAAAAATTAAAGTACAACATATGTTGGAAATAAATTGCCAAAAGCTGTCTTTAAAAAGGAAGTGAAAGTTGGGCGTTTATATGGTGCAGGGCATAAATCCAAGCACTTGGCCTACAAAAGAAAATAGCTGGTAAGCCTTGATTCACAGTCTAGAGTTGGACCTAATGGAAATACTGTGAACATCACAGTAGTTTCACCTGAGTTTACAGTGTATTTCATATTTACTTTTAGGGTTCTCTTTGTTTTTGATTCAGGATCTCATTATATAGCCCAGTTTGGCCTCAAACTCGAAGCAATCTTCCTGCCTCAGCAGTTCTGCATGCTGGTGTTACAGACATTAGCCACCATGCCTGGTGTAGATAAAGTAAATTCTTAAACATGACATAGTCAGCGACTTACTTTTTTAATCTCATCTTCAAGAGATCTTGGAATAACAGAAACACCAGTACCTGAATAGCCTAAAGTGGAACTCACGTCTTCTTTAAGAGCGATGACGTTTTCTAAGGATAGACAATGCGTTTCAATAATGTCTTTCTTCCACTTTCATTGCCCACAGAAATAATCACCAAATTCAAAGTGTGACAAAGGTGAGTGTCTTTTTTCTTTCCTTCTTCTTTCAAAGTCATATTCTTGTAAGGACACTGGGAAAGATTTGTAAAAGAACTTTAGGGCAAGGAAAGTGGGCCATGCAGAACTCTGACCTGTGAACATGGTAATCTAGGATGGGCTTTTTTAAAAGAAAGCAAACTCTTACAGGTTTTAATGGGACCGGGTGGAACACAAGTGCTGGCACTCCATCCATCATCAGTGGAAGGTACGAACGACATCACATTTTTCTTAAGCAATTTAAGTAATGATTATTACTCAAAGGACCTGCATTTTACAAAGCACACATTTAAGAAACACCCTACCACAAGCTCCCACCCTACCCGTGCGACATACATTTGCCGGGTCATTTCAGGAGGGCAGAGATCTGCCAGGCTGCGCCCTCCTCACAGAACCCTTCCGTGCCGAGATCCCGCCTGCTCCAGGAGGCGGCGGTGCCAGGCTCCTGGAGCTGTAGCAGGCCTCGGGCCCTCGGCCCTCCGCTTCACCCTTTCACCCCTCCTTCACCCCGGGAGCGCCACTCGGGAGGCTGTGCAGGCGCGGCCAGGAACTGCAAGGCCCCCCAGCTCTGGCGAGCCCTGAAATCCGCGTCCTCCACACCCCACCCACGCTGCTGGGCGCCGGGGGCTGCAAGAAGACAGCCGGTCCCTGGGAGGCCTGAACTTGCCCGCGCTTTCCTTGGATTCCCCCGCCCTGGCACCAGGAGACGCCCAGCAACCGGGCCAGCCCGGGACGAGCAGGGCTGCGGCTCCGCGGTAGCGCACGGCCAGGCCGCCCAGGGGATCCCCGCAGCAGGGCCGAAGGCGAAGGCAGCCGCAGGAGGGGTCGGCTAGCCGGCGGGCGAGCAGGCAGGCGGGCGGGTGCCGGCGCCCCCACCCGGGTTGCCCGGCGCGGAGAGTGGAAGAGGCGGAGGGCGCGGCGCGGGCGCGGGGGGCGGGACCGCGCTCGCTGATTGGCGCGAGCTCGGAGGCGGGGCCGGGCGCCGGGCGCCGAAGCTGCGGGCGCACCGAGAGGAGTAACGAGCAGCTAGAGCGGAGTTGGAGGAAGCGGCGCCCACGGCGAGGTGGTGGACGGCCGCGGCGGAGACGTCGAACCCGGGATTGACGGGCAGGGTCGGGTGGCTTAGAGGCGCGTCGGAGCCGTGTGCTCAGGAGGCCGCATCGCAGGCTCGTGGATGAAGGAAGCGCCCGCGGGGAGGTAGGGGCGCGGCGGTCCCATGAGTGTGCCCGGGAGGGGGAGGCGGTGCGTGCACGAGCGGCGGCCGCGCTCTTCCTGTCACCCGCCGCCGCTTCTGCTTCTGCAGCGCCGGCCGGGGAAGCGGGCGGCAACGCTCCCGGCTTGGGGCCACCGCTGTGCGCGCCGCGGCCTCTCTCGGTTCCGTTCCGGGCCTCGAGCGGCGCTGCCTGCCGCGGGCGTCTTCACTCCGGGGTGCCACCGAGCACAGGCTGCCTTGCTCCGCCGCACGCTTCCAAGGGTCCCCGTGTCGCCGTTCTGCAGCTTCCCGGGCCGGCCCGGTGGAGAGCGCCTCGGCCGCTGCCGGGTGCGCGGAGAACAGCGTCTTGTCCCCCGCACTCTCCAGCTGCAGCCGGGGTCGTGGCCCCAGGCTGGCAGGCGGGGTCCTCGAGGTCCCCGAGCGCGCCCCTGCCCCCGCCTTCCGAAGTTGGCCTCCCTCCTCTTCCGGGGTGGGGGAAGTGCGCCTCGGAGCGGTCGGTCGCCGGGGCCGGACTCTGTGTCTAGTGTGGGGCAGGTTGTTGGAGGCACCTTTAGTGGGGTCTCGGCCGCGCCCGGAAATCCAGCTTTTTGCATCGCGGGGCGAGACTGCAGGGACCTGCCCAGCAATATGGTGCCGGCTGGGAAGATCGAGTCAGAGCTGAAATATCGGGGCTGGGGGCTGGGAGTTGAGAGGTGGGCGGGTGGGAGCAACAGCTCCTACAGTCACTTCCCAAGGCAAAAACTGCCCCATAGATCACGAGACAAAGAGAACAGAAAATTTGCAGCCAGGTACCCGCTTGCAGAATTGTATTTTGAGAACCAGAATTCGAGCGTAGAAATACAAGGATGTGAGCGGAATGGCTGTACATGTTGCATACAGAACATGTAAAAACTGGATTTGGGGGAATTCTGCCTCTGGCGCTGTGAAGACCGGAAAGGTTATTTAGGGAGGAGCTGCCTCGTTCTTGGAGTCTGAGAGCGAGTTTACTTTTTTACTTGGGGGTTTCGGGACATCAGGTTGCTCCCTCCACCCTGTCCTTTTCCTCTTTGTCAGTCAGTGTGAAATAGGAATGGATAAAGCAGTTCCAGGTTTTGAATGCAGCACGAGATTGTCATTTCAGTGTGATGTTTCAAGTTTTAGTTGTTAGGCGGAATATTCACAAAGCTTTTGGACCTAGGCTTTATGTGCAGTTACATTTCAGTATTTTATTAGTTTCTGCTGCGTTTTGGCAACTTTATAGGTAGTTAGGTTAGCTAGGAAAGATTGGAGTAGGCGGACAGGTTCATTTCTGAGACAGGCTCTCCGTGATAGATGTTCAGGTATAAATCAGGAATTTGGTGACTTCAGCGCAGGAAAAGGCACAAGCAGATTTTTGACAGATTGTTCTTGAAATAAACTACTAAAAAGCAAGCAGATGGTAGCTTTCTTTGGTATAAAAGTTACATAAACTTTGGGCTACAAGTGTTTTGCTCATTGTAAGGAAAATATTACTGATTTTTTTTAACCTCCAAAATTTTTTTGTTGACACAGAGTCAAAGTTTAAATTGGAAAGGCCAAGTGGGGAAGCTCCTAGCTTTGTAGAAGTGTTGCCTACTGTCATTAATGACCTCTTTAGCTTTGGTGTGACTGTCGCAGGTAGGCATCAGAGGGTCATACTACTTTTTTCATAAAAAATACAGATTTTTATCTTTGGGAGAAAGAGTTATGTATATGACATTGGCTTTCAACGTGTTGGGTGCATTTAACTTTTTAACTTTCATCTTAATTTGGGCCCTGTTTTTAGTTGCATGACAACTTTGCCATGTACGTATTGTTGTCAGCTGTTTTGTCTATTTTTTTAATGCTGATAGCAACAGCACTTTCATATCTGTGATGCTGTATAATTGATGTAAAAAAATTTCACTTCCCATTGATTACGTGTGTTGGTTTCTTTGTTCAATACATTTCTAGCGTAAAGTTGGTTTTAAGAAATAAAAGTGACACAGTAAGTTACAAGAACATATTTTTGGTTATTAACAGGGATGACTAGTTAGGCATTTATCTTCTAGAAATGTCAGTTACGTCTTATACTTCAGCTGATTTCTGAAGGGCTTTGAAGCTTAAGTGTCAATCTGTTTAGCTTGCCCATTGTTATACTGTTAAAAATACTGGCTGTCCCTTCAATTTAATTTTTCCATGAATGCCATATAATTTTTAGGTTGGAATGCTGATTGAAAATGCTTTGTTTTGCCCCCTCCCAGCTATTTCAAAAGAGTGCTGTAAAAAGGCATCTACTTTGATTTTGTAATTTTTTTTTTTTTTAATTGGTGCTAGGAAGGGAACTCATGGCCATGGGCTTGCAAGGCAGACGCTTATGTCGCTGAGCTAAATCCCCAGCCCTAAGATATCCACTTTGAAAGACTGTATATATGGTCCTTAAAACAGGAACAATTCTAGTTCAGCTTTTATTATGTTTGCATTTTGTGATTTGCAAAATGTGCCTTACTGAATAAAGAGATTGTGAATTAGCCGACTGGAAAAAAATTGATTTAATAGACAAGTACAATATAGCAAACTGAGATAATGTTTGCACGCTTTTAATTCTCTGATGCTTGAGATGTACACGGTGCAGCAGCAATGAAAAATGCTTAAGTACTCATATATTACATATTTTAGACAGATATTTCTCTTTTACAGGGAGTAAAGCCTTTGCCTATAAAGGTTAGAACACGAAGTAACCCTGTGAAGTCCTGGAAAGCTAGAAAGTTGCCAATCCATGGAAAGTGTTATCTGTTTAGTTTTTAATTTAGGAGACAGTATAAATCATGTGGCAGTTTTTTATTAAAATTCTGGGTTGTAATTTTTGTGTGTATGCTGACATGATCTTGCTGTCAAGTTCAGGCTGGCTTGAACTTCTACTTTGTAGCATAGGGTGGCTGCAAACTCACAGCTGTCCTCCTGCCTCAGTCTCCCAAATGCTAAGTTTACAAGCAAGTGCCAACCAATTTTGAAAGTATTCATATTACTGTGTTTGTTATGTTTTTCCAGCCTCTTCCACCTACACCCTAATGTGATCACTTGCCAAGATTCTACCAATGCTCTTATTGAAATAACTTGCCTGAGAGTGTACACTAAGCCAAATGAACTGAAAAATATACAATGTCATTACTTATAAAGGTGCACATTTGGCTTATGTTAGGTCTCCCCTCCCATCTTTTTGTGAAAGGGTAGAATGAGTATAGTGTAGCTTTCACACACAAAAAAAAAACAAACAAAAAAAACCTTTTTATTCTACCAGTATTGTTTTCCATAAAATAAATCAAATACATACTCATAGGCACCTGTAGGCAAAATAGTTTTGAAGTTAATGATCACCCCAGAGAGTACTGAAGTTGCAGCAGGCTGGCCCAGAATATGTGGAGGCTCCCCCAGCAGGGGTACTGGCCTGATAATGCCCAGATGCCCAGCGATGGCTGGCTTTGCCCTTTACCTTCCTCCCGGGATGCCCCATGGACTCCAGCCTGGGCCTGAGCCCTTGAGGGCACAGCTGCCTCCGTCCCTGGGTGGTTGCATTGCTCACTCATTTTTTTCTCTTTGAGGCAGTCCAGGGAGCAGTCCTCAAACTCTGTTGGGGAGCAGTATTGTTCCCTAACTCCACCTGCTGTCCCTCCCTGTGCACATATCATGCCCCTGACCCCTCCCAGGTCTCCTCTGCCCTGACCTCCACCAAGGCGCCGTCACCCTTAGATGGGGAGAGAACTCATCGGGCAAAGGTCAGCCGCAGCCTTTATCTGTCTACTTCCAGCAGATTTTATTTCAGCCAGCTTCTTGATTCAGTGAGAGCTGTATGCAGCTTTTAGAGGCAGTTCGAGAGAAAACTCCTGGCAGCTCTCTGTTCCCATTTTAAATCCAAAGCACACAAATGGCAGTAAGTATCACATTCTGTGATACTAGTACTATTATTACTAATTACTAGTACTATTATTACTAAACTACATAGCTTTAGTTTGCTGTGTAATGTCAGGGACATTTGTTTGCCCCTTTTCTGCTTCACTTATTATCTGCAAAGTAAGGATGATGAATATGCTTAGCTTGAGTGCGAGGATGAAATGAGTTGAAACGTGCAACTTAGAACTGAGCCTGGCACATAGTGAGCCCCTGGTTGGTGTTAATTGTATTGGGTTCTAATTGTTAAGCTATATGCTTTTTATGTGCGATTTCTTTTAATCCCATGATGAACCTGGGAAGTGTAAGTTTGCTTATTGTATCTTGTAGGTGATAAAATGTGCCCCTGAGAGGTTTAAGTGACTTTCCCAAGGTCAAATATCTAGGCACTGATGGGGGCAGTGGCCTGTCTGTGGCCAATCTTTGACCTCCTTGCCAAAACTGTTAAAGGAATACCATTGTTTTCCACAAGACTGGACTTCATGTCATCTTCTTCCTTACACAGCCACTGGATTGGGCTTTCTCTGCTGTAACAGTGGCCTTGTGGCCTGCTGTGTGTGATGAGCTTTGTTCCTCAGCTTTGCAGTGCACACCAGACTTGTCTCTCAGCCTTTCTGCAATGACCGACTAGACCCAGGAGTGCCAACAGCTTTGCTTGGGTCATTCGCTGCTCTTCCTTTGAACTCAGTGGTGCCCATCACTGAAGGACTGTAGACTGGAATTGCAGCCTCCAACACCCACTTATATTAGCCACCCAGCCCCACACAGGGCAGCAGGTAGACAACTTTTGAAAGAATGAATTGAGAGATTTGACACCTGTAGCTGTTATCTTAAGGTGAGCCCATCATGTTCATTCAATTTTAATTGAGGTGAAATTCACATATTGTGAAATTCACCAACTCCAATACAGTAGATTAAATCAAAAGTATAGTAACTCCTTCTGTTTACTAGGATGTTTAACTTTGCTCAATATTATTTTTGTGTGTGTACATGTGTGTTTTCCGAAAATGTGGTAGGTAAAAAGATTTTTTGATAATGCTTTCTCTTAAAGACTGTGACTTGAGGTGGGGAGCTTGCGCTAGACTTGGAGCTGGCACATTAGGGGGAGAAGGGTGGGATATAAGGTTTTGTGGATCCTGACTGCCCACACACTCCTTAGCGCCATTGAAGACCCATTTTATGCTGATGCCCATTGCTTTCATTGCAGGATAGAATCGTGACTAGGATACACACTAGTCCTAATTTAGTTTATGTGATCTGAAAATATTTTTCATTCCTGCCTCTGCATCAAATTACCTAAATCACATCTTTTATAAAATAATGAAGTAGGTCAATAAAATCAGAGGACCTTTCAAAGAATTTTGTTTAGTTCTTTGCTGTGTGCCTGCAGTTTAGAAGGTTAAACTGAAAATCTCTTTGAAGCAGTTGTACATTAAACAGATTGTTTGTATCAAGCATTGGAAACCTTTTTTTCCTCCAGTATTGGGGACTGAATCCAGGGTCTTCAAATTGAGCTACATCCTCAGCCTTTTTTAAATTTTGAGACCACATCTCACTAAGTTGCTCAGGCTGGGCTCAAATTTGTAATCCTCCTGATTCAGCCTTTCAGGGTGCAGGATTATAGGCATGTACCATTATGCCTAGCCAGAAATGATTTTAAGAAACAATAAGAATCACTCAGCATATTAACATGGGGGAAAATGGACTTCCACTTCATGGGGCTGCAGATAGTCCTTAGAAGGGTTAAAAGACTGGAGCAAAATAATTCCCTTGAGGAAACCATTGCATATAATGTTTTGTAAGTGAATTAATTTGATATTTGTTCATAGGATTTCTTTATACCTTTTGTTACAGTAATTTATGGATGTATTGGCGCTTACATCATAAGACTGCTTTGGTTATTTATAAATACTAAGTTGTATGTAACAAATATTCACATATAAAAGCCTTTGCTATGTAAGTAAGTGTGTAGGATCTGAGGGAAAATAGTTGAATAAGTAGCCAAAGAGAATGGAGTGCAGTCTAGTGATTCTGGCAGAGACATAGCTGTCAGTCTGATAGTTTGGGTCCCAGGTGGGTCTCAGGGGTTTTACACAGTTAATGCCCAGTGCCTCAGGCAACTCCGTCTTCTACTGTTCTGGGGAGAATTTGAGGGTGAGAGAAGAGAACTTGCTAATCCTAAAATGTGACAATCCCGTGACTCCAGATTGATACTTAAATGTCTCCTTAGGGGGCAGCCAAATTGTTGAAAATTGTGCAGTGAGGGACCCAGGTTAGTGCGGAGGGACGAGATGCCAAGAGGATACTGGTGATGGAAGCCACGCTTATACAGAGAGAAGCAGGCGGCCTTCCAAAAGCCTTCTTTTATTTACTGGTTTATGGACTTCCTAGTAAGGATGCATTTTAATAGACTCTTTGGAAGAAAATTTGCATGGCCATGATGCTGGATTTTAGACTTGGTGGGACCTCTGCTGAGTTATAATGGCTTTTTATTTTTTTGTGAGAGAGCCAAACACTTATCAGTGAGGCTGCTGTCTGAGAGTAAAGGCAGACGTTCAAGGTTAGTCTGAGGGGCCACCTTGGGCAGGGCAAGGACTCTGCGCATTGTACCTAGGCTGCCTTTGTTATCTAAGCAAGTTGAGTTCCAGCAGTAGGTTTAGATGGTGGTGAAAGGTGGGAGTTCTGGAGTCACACTACTTAAATCTAGATATAGGCTCCACCTGTCAATTGCTGAGTTTAATCATAGCCAAGATAAACTTCTATCCCATGGTTTTCTCACATGTAAAGTAAGAATAAGGAGAGTGCCCCCTTATGTGGTTATCTTGGGTTTGAGTGGGGTTACTCTGTACGACTTGCAGTAAGTACCTGATGATGACAGTGGTAGTCTTTAAGATGGGTGAGGCAGTCAGGAGAAAGTGTACGTTGTGAAGGCCTGTAAAGATACCTCCTCCTCTGCCCAGCAAAGTGCTCTCTGAACCAGACCACCACGTGATCAGATCCCCACCCAAATAAATGAGTCATCTGTCCTTCCTCATCTTTGACAACATTGCCCTGAATCATGGCCGACCTTGAACTGGTGAACCTGCCCTGTCTGCATTCTTTTTCCTGTCTGTGATGGTAGTCTCAGAAGGCAGAAATGGTGTGTTCGGTGTGCAGTCGTAGAGTAGTAGATGAGCTGGGCTTCCTGTATCAGAGTGGGACTCAAGAGTTTTACACAAGATTTTTCTTACACAGCAGGTGGGGTTCTTCTGCAGAGAATTTGTAGAGACTCCTAGGTTTCTGCATGTATGGTGAAGATGTCTCTTGAGCATCTTTAGGTTCCTCCTGCCCTGTGTCCAGATTTAGCCCCAGAAAGACTAGCCTCAAGCATAGTTTTCGGTTTGCTGAATTTGAAAATTCATGGGGCTTTTTCTTACTGCAGTGTCTCCTAGCGAGGGATGTGCATGGCTGCATACGTGCTGTGAGCAGAGGTTTGGTTGATGTTACTGGGGAACATGGCAGGGGTGAATCATTACACTTCCTATTCTGTTAAGAATACCACTAAACTGGCCCCTGGGTGGTTGAAATTGAGGAAGCGCTAGGAAGAAGCTAGCTTACAGATCTGTGCGGACTACCGGTTCAGGATCTTTTTGTTTTCCCTTCCAAAATGATATACATTGCCAGGAAAAGCTAACAAAAGTTTCAAGGCAGATTTGGAAGAATTAAATTATTCTTAGGCATATTGCCTGGTTTCCAACCATTTAGGGATATGTAAATTTCCGTGTTCTTTAGAGCTCTGTGTTTCTTTTGTACAGAGTACATTAGTACTAAAAATGAGATTTGCTAGTTCTACATTTTTGTGTGAATTTATGCAGAGAATATTTAATTTGATTCTGGATCTTCAGAAGGGGAGGCTTTCTTCAGACAGATAATATAGATTATTTTTTATATGCCTCACTGGTGGCATTAATTTTTTGTCTCTGATGACTGAAATGCAAAGTAGAGTACCCAAATTAATATTCTTGATGCACAAAGACTTCCAGTGTTTGTTTTTGCTTCCTTTTAATATGCAACTCTTCTAAGAGTGTTATTGTATTACAGCTAAGAGGTTTTAACCATGTAAAGTTGAATATTTTACACTTCTGAATGCCAGGGTAACAATTAGTCTGTAATTAAATTTGGCTTCTTCTGTTGCCTACACTGAAGAGTGCCTGTAATGGTAAACTTCTGAAGGGTTTCACTCTTTAAAACTTACTAAAGCTCTCTTGGACACAGCATCCTGAAATTGTGTGGCTGTTGTTTTTATTACCTTATTGTACTTCCAATTTAACTGGAACCATTTGGTTGCTTTATAATAAAGGTAACGGGGAAATGGATGGTGTCCAAAGTGTGTCCATACACACACTGTCCTATCGGCTGTCACTTGGACTTCTCATCTCTGTCCTAGTATCTTGGACTCTGCAGTGCTCTACCTCCACTGTGCTTAAAAAAAAATAAAAATACTTTCCATACCCAGCCCCGCTCCAGTAAGGTATTTGAGTACTGTATAGCAACGGTAGTTACTTCCTCCGGTTTCTTAAACTCCTGAAAATCTTGTTACTGTCCTCACCACCATCCTCTGCTTTCTTAGAAAGTCACTGATGATCCCACAATGAGCAGATCTTCAGATTTGCTGGCCTTGACTTAGTGTCGCCCACATGGATGCTTATGCAGGACTTACTCAGAGACCTCATCTGTGGCTCTGATCCCTCCTGTCCTATGTTTCTGGGGCAAGGCATTGCCTCTGTGCCTTGGCTTTCATGTTTGGGTTCACCAGGCCTCAGTGTGTGATTCTTGGATGGTTTTTTGACTTATTTTTTTGACAAGCTTTGATCTTTTATTAAATACAGCTTTGCTTTATTTGTAGTTTGTTGCCAAATCTCTGTGTCCCTTTTCCTAAGTCACAGCCCAGCTTTTAAGCAGCCACTAGCACACCAGCAAGTGGATGCCTGCATCCCTGTAAGTTCATTGAGTCTCCTGGCTTCCCTTTGCCTGGTACTGATATAAAATTTTTGCAGTAACTCAGGATGAGACATCCTTTGCTTTTCTCTCTCTTTCCCTCCCTCTCTCATTGTTCTTCCCCCTACTCCTGTCTCAGCATTTGCCACCGCCCACAGTTTTCTCCAGGTGCCTCTTGCTTCAGCCCCCTCCTTCCCATTCCTGCTGCCACCACCTGTGAGGTTCCAGTGCTTTGACTACTTGCCCAGACTGCTGCAACACACTTGTTTCCACTTTTATCACCTCTGTTCTTGTCCCAAACCAGCCCTTCCTGCACTCGGGTTTGTTAGCCCGAGAGTCCTCAGGGGCAGTGCCAGTGCCATGCTCCCTACTTCCTGCCCTCCCAGAGGTCTGCTGTGGCCTGGATGATCCACGCATGCCATGAAGGCACCCAGGGTGTCAGGTGGCTCCAACCTGTCTTTCCAGCCCGTGTCTGCTCTTCCCTCTTTGGCTTCAGATGAATCAGACTGCCTGTTCTAGCTCTTCCCAGAACAGGACATTAGCTTACTCACTTCTGTACCTAGAGTCATGCCACACATTCCATTTGCCTTCAGATACCTGCAGTTTCATGTGACATCTTCCTCACGTGATCCTCGTAGAATTTAGTATGTGCCTCTGTTATAGCGTTGACCTCATGTTTTGGTTCCCTGTGTACTGGTCTTGTCTCTGAGACATTGCCACTTGTCAGTGCCCCTCCTCCCATCCCCACCCCCTGTTCTTAGAAGGCAAGGACTGTCTTAGTAATCTTCATCAAGTAAGTGTACTCTTGCAGCCACACACTGGCCCGTGTACGTCTGCCAGATTGATTAACTACTTGGTGAATGGAAGTAGGAATTCAGACTCATGCAGATGGCAAAGTGTGATGTTCATTCATAAGTCTTGTTTTTCCTTTGCTAGGTGAAGCTGAGAGTGGAGTTCAACAGTAAAATCAGACGACAGATGGACAGTGTGACAAGAACGTCAGAGAGGATTGGGCCTCGCCGTGAGAGGCAGCCTGGAGTCAGCGTGTTGACAAGTTGCTGAGAAGAAAGCTAGGGAGGCGCTGTGGCACACACAGGAAGCAGAGGCTGTCTGCAGTCACACCATTGATGGAGGACAGATGGACAGCCGGATGGCCAGTGAGCTCTCCTCTTAAATCTTTGGAGAGTGGCCCTTTGTCCTCTGCTGGACACTTATTAGGAATTTTAACATACTCTCTGAACTCCTTATTTGTCAGAACGCAAACTTAGACTGCAGTGTGCCACCAGGCTCATCCATTGCATGGTGACATCTGCAAACATGAGTGCCGAGGGCTACCAATACAGGGCACTGTATGACTATAAAAAGGAAAGAGAAGAAGATATTGACCTCCACCTGGGGGACATACTGACTGTGAACAAAGGGTCCTTGCTTGCACATGGATTCAGTGATGGACAGGAAGCCCGGCCAGAAGAAATTGGCTGGTTAAATGGCTATAATGAAACCACCGGAGAGAGGGGAGACTTCCCTGGAACTTACGTTGAATATATTGGAAGGAAAAAAATCTCACCTCCTACTCCAAAGCCTAGGCCACCTCGACCCCTTCCTGTCGCACCAGGTTCTTCGAAAACTGAAGCAGACATTGAGCAACAAGGTCGGCATTGGTTAAGGATTACTTAATGACTTTTTCTTTCTTTCTCTTTTAAAGGTTTGGTCTGGGCTGCTGTGCTCTGGGCAGAAGTTATCTGGGAAACCTTTCTAGAATTGATATATAAGATGCATAAAACCTGGGTCTGTTATTACAGACCTGAACAGTTTGTGTTTGTGGGGTTGGGAGTTTCTATAAAACTAGGGAGATGGTATCTGAGAACCTGTTTAGTGAGTATCTTAAGCACTATTACAGTTGCCACTGAATTAAACGCCTATTGCATTCTTATTTTTGTAATTGATCTATCTAAATAATCACTTAGGGGAAGTATAGAGTAAGGCTAATGCAAGTGTATTTAGTAAATACAATTTGGATGGAAAAATATAGAGAGAAATAAAATGACCACAGAACTCAGCAGAGGAGTCACTGTTTTTCTAAGCTGTAACGTGGTTTCCTCTCCAGGATCCACTGCAGCTTACACTGATATGTGGCCCTGGAGTTAGCAAACAAATAAGGGTTTTCTCAGCTATTGCAGCAGTGTCATTTGTAGTATTAATACCTATAGTCTACTTGGCCATGATGAATGGAAAATAAAATTCACTGGATACTTTCTTCAGTGGAAACATTTTCTGCTGCTCAGTTTCTCACTGAGACGAGTAATGTTTGGCTTTGCTCTTAGATTTGTCAAATGCTGGTTTTTCCCAGTAGAAAATCTCCATCTTTTTTTTTTTTCTTGAGTAGTCTTTTTTCCTTTAGAAATGGAAAAAGGAATGGGAACTTGCATTTAAAATAAGTGACTTGCATTGGTTAGATAGTGAGTGATTGCAGATTTCTGGAAGCAGCTCTGATAGTAATATTGTATCTTTGATGCTGGCTGATTCTACACAAATGAATGAGAACAGAATGCAAGGAGGCAGCTGCCTTGCCACTGGGAATGGGATTGAGACTATTGTGAGAAGGTGAAGGAATTTACTAAAGATATACTTCAGGAGAAGCCCTTTATGAGAATATTTGAGAATACTAGATCCAAAAATGTTGTATTATATTTCATACTTACTCAAGTCTACTGATAGCTTTTACTGTATAATAATTAAAAAGCAAGCTTTTTCTCTGCAGGTAAATCAGAAAACCTAGAGTGTGCATCTAGATGTGTAATTTTGCCTTTCTTGCACCGTTTCACTTAGCACATTGAGTATAAATACTGAACTTTTATTCACCAAATTATACACTTGTCATGTGGCTTTTTTAAAAGTTAGAAGCATTTCCTTAAATAGTGTCATTCGAAAGGAAAAATGACATAATTTGTCCCAAAATACATAGGGTTGCAGAATCATAAAAATACCTGTTGGTTTAGAGAAGCTTATTAAAAGTTGTAGTAAGGGTATCTTGCTGAGATTATGACAGAAGAGTTTATAAAAATGGTTTCTAAAGAAAAATTGCCTTTAGTAACTGCTATCAGGTGAATTTCCAAATATACTTGGATATAATATTCAGGAAAGTCCATAGGAAAAATGATTTTCTCTTTTGAGGTGCTAAATTTTACAGTGCTTTCTTTCTCATGTAATGTGACTATGGAGATTTGTTTTTAAAGCCTGTTCATTTTTCTTTTTAGTTCATGGGAAAATAGAGTAAAATGAAAATTTTTAGTCAAATTCATGAAAGAGTTCAATGATAATATGCATGAAAGTATTTAGAAAAGGAAAACCTGAGTATAAATGAAAAACTAGGAGTAATTGAAAGGTTGCAAAGGCTTGCGGAGGGCGGGGAGCCAGGAGAGGGGGAGGGGTCACACTAAACCTTCTAGTGAAGCCACAATTGGCTCCCAGGAGTCCTTTGTTAAAGTGACAGGGGCAGTAGTGGTAAGGGCAAATTGTGTGTTGGAATCTATGAAGCCCAGGTTGTTTTTGTCCACGTGCATATCTGTTTGAAAAATTATGTAGTGTAAAATTGTGTGATGGTAAGAAAGAATCATTCTTTTCTTATCTAATTAAGCTCTCTTGTCTTTTTTTGTGTTTTTCCTTTTATTCTTCCACCTGATTTAGGCTGGGTTTTGTGTCTGACCGTCTTTCATCTATAAGATTAACCCACAAGGTCTAAGAATTCCTTGCAGTTCTCTTGTGGACACACACACACACAGAGATGGGCAGAAGTGCAGACAGAGGGTGCTCAGACTAGTATGCAAGCTCACCACATTTCCCTGTGTGCTGCCGAGCCTTAGTAACATTTTTCTCTCCTTTGAGACAGTCTTCCTTTATTGCCAACGCTGGTCTTAAGCTCCTGGGCCCAAGTTGTCCTCTTGGTTCAGCCCCTGGTAGCTAAGGCAGGTGTGCACCATCACACCTTGCTACCTTCTGGTTTTTATTTTTGCTTTGTCCTTTTTGAGACAAAGCCTCACTGTGCAGTTCAGGCTGGCATTTAACTCACTTTGTACCCCAGACTGGCCTTGAACTCACAGCATTCCTCTTGCCTCAGCCTTCTGAGTGCTGGGATTACAGGCGTGCACCATCATGCTTGGCTTTACCCTCCGGTTTTAAGGGAAAGTTATCGTTAGACTCTGGCCAGTAGTAGACTGTATCTAAGAGATTCCTCCCCATATGAGAGAACCTACCTTTTTTCATTCCTTCCTGGAACTCTGTTCCTGGGAATAAAGCTGTGATGTGTAACTGGACTTTGAAAACAAGACTCTTGAGCCAGGTCTCTTAACTTCTCACCAACCAAAAAAGCCAGCAGTATGCTGCAGAATGTTTTGCCTAGGCCTAAAAGTTTGTGTTTTTCTGTGTTTTGGTAGGCAATAAAATATATATTTTTGAAAGATATCAAAATAATTGATTAAAAGAAGAATCTGGAAAAAACAGATGTAAACACGAGCCTAACTACCTCTTTTTCGATCAGTATGTATTATTCGTGTACTGTATTACATTACATATTCCAATAGTATTTCCTCATGAGCTCCTCTGTGCTTACATTCTTGTTACTAAATTCTTGATTTGTTAAAACACTTCTCCTATTTACTTAAAATTTAGTAACTTGGTTCCCCAGAAATTGCGTACAAGGCAGGGAAGTAGCTATAATCAGTAATTTGTGTATCTGCAGTTATTTGAAAAGGAAGTTGACAAGAAAAAAGGATTTTCACTTTTAGAGCCCTGTAAAGCAGGTGGGTTCTGTCTCGGAGCTGCCCTGAGCACATGAGGAATTTACAAGCAGAAGCGCCAAGGCTGGGCCAGTGAGTCAGGGCGCCTGTGGGTATTCCCAGGCAGAGAGGAAGGCCTCCCTCCTCTCCAGGCTAGTCTTTAAAGGGAAGGACTTGATTTTCTTTCCTGGAGCACTAGTGACTGAAGTTCCATGTGATGTCATTTGAGGGGAAGTTTTTGCCAGATTACAGTGACCTGTGTCCTTCAAATCACAGGGCTGAGCAGGGGAAGTTTTGTTTTCTTAAATGATCCACAGCAGTTCCTTCTCATCCCCGCCTTTGCTTTTCATGTTTCAGTTACAGGAGGTCATGCAAGGTCTGAAAATCTTCCTGTAGATACTAGATATTGAGAGTGAAAAACCACATTGACATACCTTTTATTAAAGTATATTGTAATATTCTATTTTATTATGAGTTTGTTGTTGTTGTTGTTGTTGTTGTTTATTGTCTTACTGTGCCTACCTTATGAGTTTATCTGTAATCACAGGTATGTGTGTGTAGCAAGAAAATAGGAAGTAGAGAGTTTGGTACTATCTGGCTTCCGGCATCTGCTGAGAAGGATCTTGGAACATATCCTTCAAAATATGGGAGAACTGCTGCGTTCACCTGCTTTGGTTGAGGCTTCTGACTCTACATTTTTGTTTTTTTCCAAAATAGATAAAGGGTCTAGTTTGCATATCTGTACAGTTGGAATGAACCTTGCAGAAGTTATTTGAGACGGAGAGCCTATTCTGTTTACTTGTAACCAAGATGATTATGTAATACAATTTTCTTTGTCAAAAATGTAGAATATTAGAGGCTAATAGTGTTTCTTCTTAAACTTAGTTACTGATAGATTTTTTGGTAAATTTCATGTCTTTACTGATTTATAGGTGAATAAATTTTGTCTAAAACAGGAGTAATTCTGATTCATAAGCATTTCATCACTAAGTGTAAGTTTGAGAAAATAAACATTAGAAATTCTTAAATTCAACAAGCACATGGCGACTTACATCTGCTAAGTAGCATTGAAAAGGGGAGAATTTTATTCTTATGGCAAAAAAGAATGCCAAGTACATAATGCCGTTTACATATTCATATTTTGGTTAGTGATAAAACAAATTTTAGCGGTACAGCTGGCTATTATATTTAAGTTTATCTTTGTTTCAAGCAAATTTTTATGAGAAAGGATGAAGACTGAACCAGAAGAAAATAACCTTGTATAAGCTAGAAATGAGAAACACAATTGTGTGATACATTGTATCTTAATGTTTTGAAGTCCTGACTGAATTAGTAGCATTTATGTCACAGCGATCTTTAAGCTTTTGTTAAGAATAATCAAATAGAAGTAGACAAAGTGACTAAAGATTAACTTTATTTCAATTACTTGAGTGTAGTTTCCCTAAAATGTCAAATCACTTAACAAAATATGGTCAGAAAATACTTTATATTATTTGTAATTGTCACTTTATGTAAAAGATTATAAGTAAAAACACTGTTAAACTATAACTTTGTAATTAAAGATAAAACATGATATATCTACATTGCATACATTGTTAAATGTAATTTTGTAATTATAGACAAAACATACTGTGATACAATTTATAACAGTATCCATTGTTAAACTATAACAGGAATTAGAAATAAAACTTACATTGTGCTATAGTGTATAGCACTGTGTGCATTATTAAAGTATAACTGCAGTTAACAGTGTCATACAGTATGTAACATACACTGCTCCAATGTATAACAGTATGCATTGTTAAAATATAACTGCAGTTAACAACAAAACAAGCAACAGATTTTCTGTTTAATTATGTATGCAGAACTTTTTCCC